ACTATGTCTTGTTTTCCTGCCAGCTCACTTCTTTTTTTCACTTCAGTGTGTTTTTTTACACATTAGGAGAGATTCAGAAAATACTGAGCTATGTCACAAGGGTAGAGCTTAGATTATGGAGAGGAGTCAAGTTAGAGAGTATCAGGAAAGAAACTACTTCATGTTATGCTCTATTTGCATCTCTTTCCTAACTTCTCAGCGAATTGAAGCAGCAGATAGCATTAATGCTTCCTGTGATAATGCTGATGTCTGGAAAATCTGTTCTACATGAGTTTTGCTTATAATAGATTGAGCCATTTTGATTTTTATGTTTTGTTCTGACCTTCTGACTTCAGGACAAACCCAATTTTTAAGACTCACAGAATTTCCTAGCACAATTTTCCAGTATTGTGCTTAGCAAAGAAATGAAGCTTTCTTTGTCAACTTTAACTATGTGTCATTGTGCAGTGGAAAATCATGAAATGTGGCATTATTTTCTGTAGAGTCATGTCCCAAAGAAATAATGTTCTCCATTAAAGTTTTAAAAATTACTTTAGAGACTTAGGGCATTGGAGTTGCTTGAGAATTAGAAAACTGGAAAAATACTGTTTCTCTTAGGTTATTAAAGATCTTGTAGGGTTCCTCAAATAACTTAATGTCTCTTCATCTCAGTTCCCCATGCCTCCAATTTCAGGAGAGTAGAACCAACATGGAAAGTGACCTACTGGTATCCCATCCCATGCCAAAAAAATAAAAATAAAAAAGGAAAAATAAAATTTCCCAACAAAGCAGATAATCTCCATTAATATTTATAGTGGTTTCAGTGATTGATTTCCCAGAAATCCACTCTGTCCCAAATGTAGAATTTACTAGACACCTATTTGGGTTGCATTTCCAGAAAATGAGGCATGATAATTCAGCTGAGGGTGGGTGATTGGGACCTCTGGGATGAATGAAACCTGAAAATGGCATCTTAGGCTGAGGTCACTAAGAAGAGCCCATGACATGGATTCTTGTGAAAGGTACTTAGAGACTCCTGGAGAAAAGGAAAGAGGGAAGAGAATAGAATGCAGGAAGAAAGCTAAGGAAAAATGCGTTCTCAGAGAATAGTTTCTGCCTGGTCCTACAGGAAGTTCTGGGGTAAAAATTTCTTCATGAGGTGGCAGGTGTTGTGGTGCAGCAAGTTAAACCGTCACCTGCATGCTGGAATTCCTTGTCGGAGCTCCGGTTTGAGTTCCAGATGCTCTGCTTCAGAGCCAGCTCTCTATAAATGCACCCGGGAAGGCAGTGGATGGTGGTCCAAGTACTTGGCCATCTGCTACCCTTATTGGAGACTTATATGGGACTGCAGGCTCCTGACTTCAGCCTGGTAGAGCCCCAGCTGTTGTGGCCATTTGGGGAGTGAGGAGTGAACCAGTGGATGAACAATTCTCTTCCTTTCTCTCTCTCCCTCCCTCTCTCTCTCTCTCTCTCTCTCTCTCTGTGTGTGTGTGTGTGTGTGTGTGTGTGTGATCCTTCGCCTCTCTGCTACAAACCTCTGCTTACTTTAGCCTCTCACATTGAACTTAAAATGATGTGGTTTTTTTTCTTTCTCCTTTACTTTCACTAGTTTCTTGGTTTCTAAAAGCTATGTTTTGGAATGTAATAGACATTCAGTATATGTTTTTGGAAGGACAGAGTGAATTAGAGTCTGGAGATCAAGTGACTGCACAAGGTCGTTGTATCTGCTTCCTATTTCTTCTATAATAACTAACCTCAAATTTTGTGGATTAGATCCACAGGTTCATTAGGTTATAGTTCTAGAAGTCAGAAGTCCATCTTACAAGCTAAAGGTAATAGAAGGGATGAACTCCCTCTGTAGGCTCTAAAGGGAGAACTAATTTTCTTTCCTTGTTCAGCTTCTAGTGACTGCACTCCTTGACCTTCCCCAGTGCCAAAGTCAGCATGCTAACATCCTCCAATTTCTCTCTCTCTCTCTCTCTCTCTTTCACATCACATCTCCTTCCCCGATTCTGACCCCCCTACTTTTTTTTTAAGATTTATTTATTTATTTGACAGGCAGAGTTACAGGCAGAGAGAGGGAGAGACAGAGAAAGAGGTCTTCCATCTTCTGGTTCACTCCCCAAATGGTTGCAATGCTGGAGCTGGGCCTATCTGAAGCCAGGAGCCAGGAACTTCTCACGAGTCTTCTATGTGGGTGCAGGGGCCCAACCACTTGGGCCATCTTCCACTGCTTTCCCAGGCCACAGCAGAGAGCTGGCCCTGAAAAGGAGCAGCTGGGACTTGAACTGGCAGCCACCAGGGATGCCAGTGCTGCAGGTGGAGCTTAACCTACTATACCACAGTGCCAGCCCCCAAATTTGCTTTCTAAAACTATGTGTTGCTACTATTAAGTGTGTATGTCTTTGTTACTTTAAAATATGAATAGCATCATGGAAACATGGAGTCAATTTGAAAAAACATTATACTATTTAAAAATTGAGGGGCCGGCGCCATGGTGCACTAGGTTAATCCTCCGCCTGCGGTGCTGGCATCCCATATGGGCGCTGGTTCTAGTCCCAGTTGCTCTTCTTCTGGTCCAGCTTTCTACTGTGGCCTGGGAAAGCAGTGGAGGATGGCCCAAGTGCTTGGTTCCCTGTACCCGCATGGGAGACCAGGAAGAAGCACCTGGCTCCTAGCTTTGGATCGGCACAGCTCTGGGTACTGCAGTCATTTGGGGAGTTTACCAATGGAAGGAAGACCTTTCTCTGTCTCTTCCTCTCACTGTCTGTAGCTCTATCTGTCAAATAAATAAATAAAAAATCTTTTTTAAAAAAAAATTTTTGACAGAGTGGACAGTGAGAGAGACAGAGAGAAAGGTCTTCCTTTTTCCGTTGGTTTACCCTCCAATGGCTGCTGTGGTCGGCGTGCTGTGGCCGGCGCATTGCACTGATCCGAAGCGAGGAGCCAGATGCTTATCCTGGTCTCCCATGTGAGTGCAGGGCCCAAGCACTTGGGCCATCCTCCACTGCACTCCCGGGCCACAGCAGAGAGCTGGCTTGGAAGAGGGGCAACCGGGACAGAATCCGGCACCCCAACCGGGACTAGAATCCGGTGTGCCGGCGCCGCAAGGCGGAGGATTAGCCTAGTGACCCGTGGTGCCGGCCAATAAAAAATCTTCAAAGAGGTACCTATTGAATGTTTAAAAAAATTAAAAAAAAATTGAAGTTATTACTAAAATGCCTTCTTCATTGATAGTAGATTCTAGTTATCAGTGAAGTAAAATTTGGCTTATTGAATTATTAGCTCCCTTTGACTGCTGGCATTCCACAGCTTTGACCATGCTACTCGAATCTCTGCCTCCATGTTCATTGCCCCTCTGTTTGTGTCCAATCCCTCTCTGCATCCCTCATTTAAGGATAGATGACATTTAGGGCTCATCTGAAAAACCTGAGACAGATTCCTTATCAAATCTTCAACATAACCACGAAACCTCTCTCTCTCTCTCTCTCTCTCTCTCTCTCTCTCTCTCTTTCAAGATTTATTTATTTATCTGAAAGGCAGGGTTACATAGAGAGAGAGATCGAGAGACACACACACACAGAGAAAGAGAGATCGAGAGATCGAGAGAGAGAGAGAGATCTTCCAATGCTGGTTCACTTACTTCCCAAATGGCCACAATGACTGGAGCTTCTTCCAGGTTTCCCATGTGGGTGCAGGGGCCCTAGCACTTGAGCCATCTTTTGCTGCTTTCCCAGAAACAGTAGCAGGGAGCTGGTCTGGAAGTGGACCAGGATTCGAATGCCAGCCCTTCAGGTATCAGCTTTACCTGCTACACCACAGGACAAGCCCCAAACCTCTTTTTCTAAATAAGTCAATTTTTACAGGGAGTGTTAGTATAGGAGGTTTTAGTGAGAGTTAATTCAGTGAGCTACAATACTAAAAACAGTGCACAATAATAGTAAGGCAGTATTAAGTGGTGTTTGATAAGGCCAGTTCTAGAATCATCTAGATATGCTTCAAGTCCCATAGTCCCATAAATTCATTACCTATGTGACTTTTCACAGATAATATTACGACTTCCATAAAAGACATGAGGAAGAACAAATGAGAAAATGCTCTTAAAGTATTTAGCACAAGATTTATGCATAATAAGTTTTCAATGCTAACCATTGATAAAATTAGAATAGTGGTGGAGACAAGAATTCTGTGACATGTCCAGTATTATCCTCAATTATGTTCTTTTATATTTAAAATGATCTACTCTTAAATAACAAAAACATTAAAGACCTTTCAGAGTACTTTTATTCTAGGAAAAAAAATCACCAAAATAACCTTTATAAAATAATGGAATCAGTACATTGCGGGGGCGGGGCAACAGGCAGAAGTCCTGAACACTGAAATGGGGATTTCAGTCTGCACTGCTTTCCTTGCAGCGATACAAACAGAACCAGTTTCTAGGAAAAAAAAACACAAAAGCAAATGGCAGACTTGCTTTTAAACCATTAGATATTGGGGCCAGTGCTGTGGCACACTAGGCTAATCCTCCGCCTACGGTACTGGCATGCCATAAGGGTGCCAGTTCTAGTCCCGGTTGCTCCTCTTCCCGTCCAGCTTTCTGCTATGGCCTGGGATAGATAGCAAGTGGAGGATGGCCCAAGTCCTTGGGCCCCTGTACCCACATGGGAGACCAGGAAGAAGCACCTGGCTCCTGGCTTTGGATCAGCGTAGCTCCGGCCATTACGGCCATTTGGGGAGTGAACCAACAGAAGGAAGACCTTTCTCTCTGTCTCTCTCTCTCACTGTCTGTAACTCTACCTTTCAAATAAATAAATAAAATCTTAAAAAACCTGTTAGATATTAATTGCTTAAAGGATGACTAAAGGAAAAGCCACCATTTTAGATGAAAACAGATTGTAAATGGATATGGTCTTTAGTCCAATCAGCCCTTTTTAGTGTCCACAATTATTATTGGTTTCAGAAAATGATAAGAAATACTATTGTGGAAACAAAAGATACTATATAATTCTTTCCTCTTTCAGACAGAAACTTGTGTATTGACATGGGATGGAGGATGTTCGCATCAGCAGACAGAGTGTGTTGTATAAAAGGGGAACTGTGCTGGTGAAAATGGTTTCCTGTTCATTTTTAAATTTCTAATTTAGGATTGAAGAAAATTTTGAGTGGAAGCCATCTAAGGTATTCAAATCTACTTCATGTCAACTGTAAATTTTATTTTGGAAGAGAGTCGTGAAGAGTGTAAGTTAGCATAAAGGGAGTCAATTTTAGGGAAGAATTTACTAGACCACAAAAGAGATACTTAGAGTGATTAAAGCAGCTAAATATCTTTCCTTCTCAATTTTACAAAATTTTGTGTCCAAAATTAAGTCCAGTTCTCCTCTGCCTCACTAAAATTATGCTTGAGTAGCAGTGTTTTATCAGAGAACAGGACCTAGTTGTAGTTTATTCCCTCCATTGCTAATACAGGAATGAATAGTATCCCTTTCTGAGACTTACCTTTGGTAGTTCTTATCAATTTCCTTGTTTTGCGTCTATCAAAATCACTTCTCTGCTGCTTAATTCTAATGGGATTTTTCTTATTTCTTCTCTATAATTGAATTGTTGAATAAACTTCCTGTACTAACACTCCACATGCCTTTTATTATAGTCAACATTATTATTCCTCATAACAGGGGAGCTCAGGTTGTGAACAAACCCTTGTAATAACTGCCCATGTTGGCTGACTCTGAATCAGTAGGTTTGGTGTAAGGCTCAGGAATCGACATTTCTGAAAATCTCTCCAGCAGCTTCACTTCTAATGTACAGGTCAGGGTGAGAATCTTCTCTCTAGATAAGTGACACGTACGCCTCTTTAAGGAAACATCACAATTCTGATCCTTGGGACCTCTAGAGCCCTGTTATGGTAATATTTCTAACTTATGTATGTGGGTGTGTACACATGTGTTAGAGTGTAATAATAAATGAAAATAAGTCATAGTTGTTAGACATTTGATGTAGTGGTTAAACAGCTTCTTGAGATGCCCATGTCCCATATCTGCAAACCTGGGTCTGAGTCCCAGCACTCCAATCCAGCTTCCTGCTGTGTACATTCTGGGAGGCAGCAGGTGATGACTCAAGCATTTTGTTCCCTGTCAGCAAGGTGGGAGATCCAGATTGAATTCCAGGCTACAGACTTTGGTATGGTCCAGCCCTGGCTTTTATAAGCATCTGGAGAGTGAACAATTCCCCTCTACTGCTTTCCAAGTAAATAAAATAAATACATCAAATTTTTAAAAATAAGTAATAATGTCTATTTACTTCCAAACATTTGGAGAAATCTTGGTCTAGATTATTAGCAAAAATATGAAATATGAAAGCAAAATTGTGGGTCTGAGAGCAAGCATTTAGCTGGACAATTAAGATACCTGGGTCCTATATGCTGAGTACCTGGGTTTGATTCTTGGTTCTATCTCCTGATTCCAGCTTCCTGCCTATTCAAACCCTGATAGGCAGCAGTGATGGCTCAAGTAGTTGGATTTTGGCTCCCCACGTAGGAGGCCTGATTGCATTCCTGGCTTCTGGCTCTTGCTCTGGATCAGCCTTGAACCTTGGGGGCATTTGGACAGTGAAGTAACAGATGAGAGCACAGTGTGTGTCTCTCTCTTTGTCTCTCAAATTAAAAAAAAAGAGTTCCCTAATAACTTAAAAAGTTTAATTATTTGAGAATTGATATAATGCCAGTGACTAAGATAGTTTCTTAAAGGCAAAGTTAAAATAACTATAGAGTGGTAATCTATAATACCATAGCAGTCAATAGTTTAAAGTTTTTCACCTCCTTCTAAAGACATTTATAATATCTGATAAATTGCACATATCTTCGTAATTGTTTTAAACATGTTTTGAGCAAAACTGCCAATAACAACAAAACATAGCAAAAATTAACCCTCAGTTAGAACCCGTTAAAGTTTCAGGCAGCATGGAAAGCTGTTTATATGTAATTATCTAAATTCACAAATATCATATTATGGCAATTGTTAAAGTTCCTACTTTAGTGATGAGGACATTGAGGCGCAGTAAGGTTACAATATTATTTTATGGTAACTGAAAATGGAAACGAATGGGTTGGGATGATGCTATGAAATCTGATTCTAAAGCTTAATATTTCTATTGAATAAATAAACTCATTAATATTTGAAGAGGTGACATTTTAGGGCACAGGTTTGTTTGCCACTTTGCAAAGTTTTGCCTCAGGACTTAATGCCCTGAGATTAAATTTTCGTTTCTTCATTCTCTGATTATTTATTCTGTGTGTACTTCCCAAAGGAATTAGGTCAGCTTACAAGAGCAGCCCTGGAGACAATGAAAGCACTGGGAACTTTAATGACAAAGAAAAGTGAGTTGCAACCACCAGAAGACCTTGCTGATTCAAAATAAAGTCAAGACAACTCAGGCATGAAAAGGAAAAGGATGTTTGGAGGTCAACATTTGTTTTCTCAATGTATTGAGACAAGTTCTTGAGACACTGATCTTAGAGACTACTTTGGCTCAGACTTTTCCAATCTTTACTGGTTGGTCTCAGGCACATCCAAACACATGATAGGATCTCAGGTTGTTATAGCAGAAGTGTAATAAGAAAAACAGGCTTAATTCCCACTCCCAGCTTCCAAGAATCAAAAGGGAAGTCCTGAAGAATAATTTCTACAATGGAAACTAAAGGAAAGACAAGAGCATTGTTCCCCATCTTGGGAAGACCCACGAGTGGCCTTGTCTGAGTAGTGTGGATTTGGAAGAAGCCACTCGTCTGAAGGAGAACGTCCTGTTTTGATGGAACCTGGTAGGAGCTGGATGAGGGCCACTTCTGTCATCCCTTATACAAAAGAGCGGTATTCACTTCCTTCCGACCTTTTGGATGAAGGCCCTAGCCGACAGGCCCCTGACTGTGCTGCTGGAGATGGGCCACATAAGAACAAGATCCTTGTCAAGAACCAGAAAATGGTGTGGGATCCTTGCTCCTCAGAGGGGTGAAAGTGGTGTGGGATCAGAAGCCTTATCATGACAGTTAAGCGAAACCAATGCAGCACTAGTACTGATGTGGGAGGAATATAGTGCTTCAATCTGATACAAACACACAGTGATATTCAGACACATTGAATATTGCCATAAAACTGCATCGACTTAGCTTGCATTTTCACACTTTCACATGGGCAATGAAATAGAAATTCAAGTCCTGTTTCAATAAAAATGTTGTATTCCATATTTGTGAGCTGTAACTCACAATTTGTAGTATAAATTAAATCAGTGCAGTTCAGATGTATTTCTCTTAGGCTATCAGACTTAATAAAAAGCTACTTCTAAGGGCATAAGTTGTACATCAGAGTATCTCAGATGGCTTGTAAAAAGCAGATGGCTAGGACCTACCTCCAAGAGCAGTCATTCTGGGCTGGAGCCCTGTAATTGTCATTCCTAAAGAGTTCCTAGGTGTTAAGACCAAGCTTTGAGAAGCGCTTACTTGGGGGTGTCAGAATCTTGACTGCCACGCAAAGGCAATGGCCTCACTTGAGTGGGTGTTTTATGAGGACTGGGAATAAGCAAATCCACAGAACCAGTTCCTTGAGTCAAGCAATGTTACAGGGGTGTTTCATGTATGAACACACTTCACTTTCATAGAAATCCTCTCAAATAGGTACCATATTTTTAGCCTCATCTTGCAGAATAGGATATAGAGGCTCAGAGAGGCTAAATGACTTGTTGAAGATCGCACAACTGGAAGATGACAGAGCTAGGATTCAAGCCCAGGCTGTTTGTCTGTGCTTGTAACTGCTGTGATAAGTTCTGCAGATCCGTGAGGTTTCTGAACACTGCCTGAATTATAGATATTGTCTGTGAGTGCTTTGGATGTATAATATGTAGGTGACAAATTGGTCATCTTCTGTGTTAAATCAAGATGACCCTTGGGATAGGGGATTAGGAGTCCCCAGTTTTGTCTAAGAACAAAAACCCCTGCATGAATTTTGGATCTAGAAGAACTGTAGGAAGGGTCAAACTTTCCTAGGGAAAAAAACTGTTGATGTTCCTGAGATGCACCTAAATTCCATGACCTGATTCCACTTTGTGCAGAACTTAAGCCTCCAGGACTGCCTCTCTCACTTAGATGGTCACAGCTCTCCCAAGGTACACCAGGACCTTTCTCTCTGGTTTCTGCATGGCCTCCCTCCTCTCCACACCTGTCTCCCCTGTTTCCCCACAAGGCTGTTCCTTCTGCATGCCATATTCCACTCCAATGGCAGCTGATTTCTACCTGTGCCCTTCAGCAGTAGGCAGTGGTTGGAAGGTAGGAAGACAGACGTTGATCCCCTTATCCTCAGTGACCTGACTCCTCTGCACTCCTCATCCTGTGGGATGTGTCTGCCACGTTTGGCCTCCAGCTGGATGACCCTGAGCTGAGCTCTGCTAAGTCTACAGCTCCCATCCTCCTCCCGGCCTCCCTGAGGCTGCTAATGACTTCTTGACACGTTTGGATTGCCTCATCGTCCCATTTGGCTTCTTAGCTCTTCTACTGTCCGTGTAACCAGTTCCACATATGGATGTCCTCTACTTACAACGCTTTAAGTGGTTTTTGTCTTCCTCACTGGATCATGACCTATAGGCCCTCATTTAGCTGCCCACAGATGAGCTCCTACCCTGGAAGATGTGTGCTAGTTGCTCTACCCTCAAATGCTCTTCTCCCAGTTGATCTCATGGTTTACTCACACGTGTTATGCCAGTCTTTTTATAACTGTCACCTCCTCATAGAGCTAACATGATCATCCTGCCCAAAACCAACCTGGTAGTCTCCCTTCATCACTTTTTGCTGTGTAATTTTTCTACGGTGTTCATCACTGACCAAAATGATCATGCTTATATTTGTGTCTACTGACTTACTGAGCAGCTTCCAACAGTAAGATGTAAGCATCATGAAAGTGAGTATTTTGAGTGTCCCATTTGCTACCTTCTTGAATATAATGAGTACAATTGTCTTCGGCACTAAAGAAATATTTCCTGATAGACAGATTATCTGACTAAGTTATTAACTAAATGAATTAATATAGTCTTAAAGTGATGACCCTGGAATGGCAAATAGGAAATCCTTTTATTGCCCGCTCAGATCAATTCATACTGTCCATAGAAAATACAAAACAGAAGTTTTGTGTGACACAATTATCTAGTTGAATCCTAAAAGAATTGTAATAAGGCTCTGGGAGATATTGAGAATACTTGTATTATATTAGGCACACTAGTTTGCACCAACTAGAAAATGTACCTCTAGTCAATTGAAAGACTTAGTGGCCTGAATTACTCAACATCATCAACCTAAATGCTAGAGAATGTCTGCCTGCTTCAAAATAATGACTTTGATTTTACATAGTGGATACTCTGTTGCTCTTTCTGACGGTAACTGGTGGTCAACTTCCAATTACTTCTGAAGGCTCAAGGAGCAGAAAGAAAGTTTTCCATCATTCCATTTGCTACTTTTTAAAAATAAATTTTTCACTAAAGTGTATTCTGTATATTTCCCCATGCATGTTGTTCTCCAAACATTATTATTTTCAAGCATGCTCTTTTAGGCGATTCATCATTTTTCATTATAATGGTGTACGTAATAGTGATTTTAATTCATTTTGTATTAGTGGATTTATAGACATTTTCATTTATTAACAGAATACATAGATCATTAGTAACCATTCTTTTACTATGTTTGCACAAGTGAATATTGTCTTCTCCTTCATTAATGTTTTGCAATTTCCACTAACCTATGAATCCATAGTAAAATAATTCAGATTTTAAAAAAAATTCATTTTAGTATTGTCTGCCATTCCTTTAAAATTATTCTTTCTTCACTCACGAGCTTCATTTTACTTCCTAATCATTGTATAAATTTTCAAAGTTATTGATGACTAATAAATATATTAATGATATACTTCAAGAGTCCTTCCAAATATATGTGTTTTTTTCCCTCCTTTATACATGATATTCAATTTGGCCTTAAGCAACATGTTAAATTGCATTTGCCTTACATTCCAAAATATGTAAATATTTCCCTAGATTTTCTTGCAAATATTTCTGTAGTGGAAGTCTTTTTCTTTTGAAATTTTGTTACTTACAAGTTAAAGGTATAGGTGTAGACATAGTGATATAAGCTAGATGTATGTAGATGCAGATATAGACATAGATATGTTTTCTAGAAGTTTTACATTTTTTCTAAAATTCTTATAAATAAAAATATTACCAGATTTAGAGTTTTTCTTAGTATGAGGGAAGTTTCTTATCATTGTTTCTTTTTTACTCTTACTCATAAATAATAATTTTTCGTATTTTATTTATCTCTGTTCCAGGTCTATGATTTATCTTTCCTTAGAATTTCAAGAAAGTTTGCTAAATTGGATGCTTTAATTTTTCATAACATAATTTTTGTTTTTTATATCATACAGTGCAGATTTTAATTTTTCATGACATTCCAATTTCTTAAAAATGTTTCATTATCTTATTTTTTTCTTTCATCTTGAACTGTTCCTATTTTATTTCTGTCTTTTTTTCCCCTATGCTTTCCTGTTTCTATCTTGGGAAACCATATATAATTTATTGTAATGAAAATGCCAAAATCTTATTTTCTTTAAGATTTATTTTATTTTATTCAAGAGTCAGAGTTGTACAGATAGAGAAGGAGAGACACACACAGAGTTCTTTCACCCACTGGTTCACACTCTATGTGGCCCCAATGGCCAGAGCTGGGCCCATCTGAAGCCAGGAGCCAGTAACTTCCTCCAGGTCTCCCATGTGGGTGCAGGGGCCCAGGGACTTGAACCATCTTCTTCTGCTTTCCCAGGTACCTTAGCAGGGAGCTGGATTGGAAGTGGAGCAGACCTAACAGCAAATTCTATATATGAATTTCTAGACAGCAGCCTCCTTTGACACACTTAGCGTTGGGTGTTCTCTCCACTGATCCACAGAGGCTGCTTGTCAGGTGTTCAGGAGCTCAGGGGTCAGGTAATCCACTGCGGCCGCGTCGGGAAGGGGAGATGGTGGGCAGATCACATGATACGAAATGGGTGCTCTTAATTATGTGAAAGAAATACGGTAGAAAAAGAAAGGGGATGATTTCCAAAGAAATAGTTCTCAGATCCAGAAAGACAGAGGAACATGAATTAGACAAGGTGAAATTTCCATGATAGCATAATATTCTTTAAGATATCTAAAGGTAAACACCGAGCTCTCCCTGAGTCCTCTTTCACAGCATTTATACCTTGGCTTCTTTTTTAATTTTTCAAAAAATTTTATTTAACTTACACAAGTTTAATGTATTTCATGTATACAGATTCAGGAACATAGTGATTTTTCCCCCTACCCTCCCTCGCACCCATGTTGCAAAGCTTCTTCCTCCTCCCTCTCACATTCCCATTCTTAATTTTTACAAAGATCTATTTTCAGTTTACTTAATGATTGTACAGTTAACCCTGTATTAAGTAAAAGAATTCAACAAATAGTATGAAGGAAAAAAAAAACACTGCTCCTCAATGAAAGAGACAAGGACTATTTGAACCCCTTATGTTTTTTAACCTTTCAAATTTTTTGAATATTGAATATAATGTACAGCGTGATCTTTGGCTAAAGAAAAGCATACTTAGGAACACCTGTCTAAAACACCTGGACATGATGGTGAATATTGCCCACGCTGTTGTGAGTATTTTGGGGGTATCCACCAAACATTTCAGTCTCATTTTGCCTTTTAACTCTGTATAATGGAAGAGTATAATATACGGATTCATCTTTTTCTTGATTCTTGCCCTCAGAATGGTGTCTGTAAACTCATGCTCATTGTGTTTCAGCATGGTTTACTTCTATTATACTCTGTCAGTTGAATATGGCACATTTCTTGCATCCTTCCCACGCTGAGGCCCCGTGGGCGTATTATTGTGCACAATGCTGCTATGAATGCTCCAGATCCTGTATCCTGGGGCCCCGTGTGCTTCTCCATGGTGCGTGCCCATGAGCAGAAGTGTGGCGTCATAGGGTATGACTATCTTCAACTTTACTGCTAAGGTCAAGCTGTTTTCTAAAGTGATTGCACTGGTGTACACCCCACCCCTGGCAGGACAGGAGACTTCCTCTGCTCCATATACTCATCACATTTTCAACCTCATTGCAGTTAGAGATTACAAACATCCTCATTGTCAGTTCTGGCCCACAGAACTGTACTCAACACTTGTTACAAGATCATGTCATATGAAATAGTATACACCTATGTTTAACCTATTCACATTTACTTTGTACTAAGCTAAATCTATATCCTGAAGTCTATTGTTGGTAAGTCACATCTCTTTGGTATTATATTTTTGCAATTTTTTTCATTTTAGTACTTTGTTCTTATTCTCTCTATCAAATTTTACTTATGATTCTGGATATTAAGATTGTTTGGCTTCAGACCGGCTCAGTCTGGTGGCTGCAGCCTCTTAGGGAGTGAATCAGCAGATGGAAGATCTCTCTCTCTCTCTGTAACTCTTTCAAACAAAGAAATTAATCTTGAGGATTTTTATTTATTTATTTTTTTTGACAGGCAGAGTGGACAGTGAGAGAGAGAGAGAGAGAGACAGAGAGAGAAAGGTCTTCCTTTGCCGTTGGTTCACCCTCCAATGGCCGCCGCTGCAGCCGGCGCACCGCACTGATCTGATGGCAGGAGCCAGGAGCCAGGTGCTTTTCCTGGTCTCCCATGGGGTGCAGGGCCCAAGCACCTGGGCCATCCTCCACTGCACTCCCTGGCCATAGCAGAGAGCTGGCCTGGAAGAGGGGCAACCGGGATAGAATCCGGCACCCCGACCGGGACTAGAACCCGGTGTGCCGGCGCCGCAAGGTGGAGGATTAGCCTATTGAGCCACGGCGCCGGCCAAGAAATTAATCTTTAAAAAGATTATTTGATGTAATGACTCTGTCACCAAAAATACTAGCTTCCAGTCAACTTCAAGCAAATGTCACCTAATTCATCTGTCTTTCTTGATGTAAGTCACCAATATATTGAAAAGAACAGTTTTGGGAAATGTACCAGAACATTTTCCTAAGCTGACTCATGTCCACGACCCAGCACTAAAGTGACGCTACTGCTCTATTATTCAGAAATTTCACTTCATAACTAGTCCTCATTAACTTTTAGTTGCTACCTTTCCCTATTCTTACTCTAATGTAAGTACACAGAGCCTTTTTGTTGTTGTTGTTAATATATGTCTGTAAACTTTCCCTCCCAAGACTGAGATAATTTTGAGCTCTGATTATCCTGGTCCTGCTTCATGGTACTATAGGATCCTTTGACAGTATCATTTGATTATGTCTTCTTTTTATTTTGTACAAAATTCCCTTAAAATTTGATATCATCCAAGGAAGCTGTGTAATCAGCATGTTTTTAATATACTCTTCCTCTATTTTCTCTCTTGAAATTTTAAAACCAGAATTAAATTTTCAAGAACTTCCAACTTCCTGAAATTGTGTTTCCATGGTGCCAGGATTCACACTATGAAGTCATACTTGCTTGTTCTCTGGTTTTTCTAATGCCCTTCTTTCTAAAATCTAGGGCAGACTGTTTACTGGCTATCATGAGCTCTGAAATGAATGCATTCTCCCAGATTGCACTATTGTACTATGACTTCTTTATTGAAAAATTGCTCCATATTGGCAGAACTAGCTTCCCGGGCTCATGGTTGTGAGTGGTACAGAGGCCTCTGCTCCAAAGACCTCCCACCCACTTTCTTTTAATGTTCTGCTCTTTCTATCTTAAAATTATTAATAAGTTTTGAATAAAAGAGCTCACATGTTCATTTTGCATCACACTCTGAAACATATGTAGCTGCTCCTGATGCTTGTCTGCGTTCATAATAGAAAGTCATTTATTTGCTGTCTCTATTTCCCAGATGAATAAATTCACTACAAGGCAATTAAGGATATTTTCATTAAAAAAAATCAGCAAACAGTATTTCCAAAGATGTTAACAATCTACTCCCATAAGCATTTCTCAGAGTTTTATCAAGGTACATATCTATAAATAAAAATTTTCTTTAAAAAATAAAAATTTCTCCCATCATAAGGATAAAAAAGTTATAAAATATAATGTAAACATTTCTATAATTCATAAAGTGCTTAAATATTTAATTATATTTTCTTACTATCTAACTTGTAACATAATTATCATTGCTAAACACCTACCAAATAATGAATATTAATATTATCTTACTATTAATACATATATATATACTTAACTTAAAAATTTGAATCCTATAAAACATAAACAAGATATTTTTTAAAGTCCATAAAGGCTTCTAGGACTTCTGAATTTATTTGGAAAGTTTTTCCTGTGGTTGTTGTCTGAAGATTTTAATAGGTGAAATTATGCTGTATAACTGATTTCTAAGCAGTGTTCATATATAATAATTCAGAAGAGGCTTTTTCATGGATTATACTCCCTATGGAAATCTTATGCTTCAGGATCCACTTTCTACCTCTATCCTCTTTGCTTTCTTACCTTCCAACTCTTATCTTGGTTACACTGTGTTGCTGGCTACTGGCAGTCAATGAATAGATG